CCCCGGCCCCGCCCCCTTCCCGGCCCCGCCCCCTTCCCGGCCCCGCCCCCGTTGCCCGGGCCACGGCGGTTGCCGCGCGACGTAAACAACTGGGACGCCGGACGTGGTGACGTCAGGGGCATGGAACGCCGTCGCCATGGCGACACGCGCCGTGTTTACTCCGCGCCGGGCGGGGGAGCACGTGGGGCCCGAGCGGCGGCGGCGGGAGCGGCGGGCCCGGGAATGGGGCCTGGGAACACCGGGAATGGGCACCGGGAACGCCAGGAATGGGGGGGGGCAGTGGGGCTGGGAGCACCAGGAATGGGGACCGGGACCATCGGGAATGCTGGGGGACATGGGGGTGGGGAACACCGGCAATGGGGACCAGGAACACCGGGAATTGGGGAACACCGGGCCTGGGATTACCGGGGAAGGGGAGCGGACATTGGGGCTGGAAACACCAGCAATGGAGCCCGGGAGCACCGGGAATGGGGCCCCGATCCAAGGCCGCGGTGATGGGCACAGCACAGTCAGCACCGCTGTTCCCGGTGTCCCTTAGCGCCGGGTGYTCCCCTTCCCACAGAAACGGCCCCGGTCTGGGTCCGCGGTGATGGGCACCCCGGAGCCTGGGAACCTCTCCCAGTGGAGTCGTCCCAAGACCACGGGGACGGTCATGCCGGGCAGCCACCGGTGCCGCGGCGATGGGCACGGGGCAGCCTGGCAGAACCGCCGGGCCCGCGGCTGCTCCCGCCTCCGTCCGCGGTTCCCGGCGGTCCGGCCCGGCGCCGTAGCGGCAGCGGGACGGGGACGGCTGCAGCTCCGCCCCCCTCCCCCGTGTCACCCCCCCTGTCCCGAGGCGGCCCTGCCCCCCGCCCCTCCCCCTGCCACCAGGGTCCTAGGATTTCCCGGCTCGGCCACTCAGGAGCCCCCGGGAGGCTCGAGGGGGTTTCGGTCCCCCCCGGTCCCCGGGTGCCAGTCCCGGTCCTGGGGTCCCCCCGGTGCTGCAGCCACCTGCGAAGGGACCAGCGCGGGGGGGGGACCGGGACCCCCTGGGGGCTCCGACTCCCGTCGCTCAGTCCGGGACCTCCCGCGGGATCCCGCTGCCCAATCCCAGTGTTACCCGGAGCGGACTCCCCGGTCCGGGGGTCCAGGTCCCGTAACCTCCCGTCAGGATCCCGGGTGCCCCCCGTGCCAGTTTGGAGCCCCCGTCACCGCTCTGCTGCCCCATCCCGGGAGCAGACCGGTGGGGAGGGCCCGGCCGCGGCGCCACGTGCACGGGACACCGGAGATGGCGGGGGCGGGGGGGCCCGGCCCGCCGGGGGGAGGCGCTACGGGAGGAGGGGAATTCCCGATGAGGGGAGGCCCCGGTGTGGGGGGAGGCCCCGGTGTGGGCAGGGTGACGAGTTACTGCAGTGGGTCCCGAGCAGGGAGAGGGGCAGGTTGCCGAAGGGAGAGGGGGGTGGAATTCCCGAAGCGGGCGGAATTACCGGGGTGGGGAGAGGGTCCCGATGTGGGGTGCCCGGTGCCGGGGCGGGGGTGGCGCCGTCCCGGAGGGCTCGGGCCGTTTCTAGAACCGTTGTGCCCGTTTCTATTAATACGCGGCGCTCGCGGCGGCGGCAGCGGCGGCGGCGGGGCGCAGCGAGGAAGGGATTCCCTCTGACGTCATTGCTAGGATACCAAACAAACACAGCCGAGACAAGCCCATATATGGCCATCTGCGTCACAGGAACTCCGGCGGGGCGGGCAAAGGGATCCCCTCCTCTCCCGCCGCCGCCGCGGCGCCTTTTAACGGCGGCCACGGGCGGCGGGGACGCAGAGCACGGCTGGCAGCGGGCGGCGGCGGCGGCGGCGCCC